AAATTAGGGGCCCTTTTTCGGTCCCCAATATAGTACGGCACCCTTATAAAAAGGACCCTAAAAGGAACCCTAATTTAGAGAACTACCCACATGGCCATCGGCTAAAGAAAAGAATCGTAGTTGGAGTCCTCAGAAAATGTGTGTTTGCCGGGTCAGAGGTTGGGTGTAGAGCTTGGGTTTAGGGTTTAGGGCAGCCACGGTTTTGGGTTTAGGGTTTGGGGTTTAGGGTTTAGGGTTTAGGGTATGCTGCCCGATTATTAAGGCCTTTGTGTTAGGACGGCTTCGAGCCTCCATGCAAGTCTCGGCCCAGACTTGCGAACAGCACAGCAGACTCTCTGTCCTGGAACATAGAAGAGACTGCAGCATAGCATCATCTGTTATGCTTTTACAACATAACATGCACAGATGTGTGTGTATATCGACATGGTAGCCAACGAACTACCAAATATGTGTAAATACATCATTCTATGTGTGCATATTCAAAACATGTATATAGAGAGAGAGAGGCAGAGAGAGGGAGAGAGAGAAAGAGATGGTATAGAAGCCTAAATAGTTGCCAGTACTACTCTTGAAGGCTTCTTGCCATAACTACGGTTACCCTTAACCCTATACCTTAAAGTCTATCAACTACCCCAGAACCCATAGTCTAACAGCTCCAAGGACCTGATGTTAGCCTGAAAGTAAGAAAGTGCTTGGATCTCCTTAAGCCTTCAAAATCCAACCCTTAACAAGTGTCTTAGGGTTTAGGGCTTAGGGTTTAGGGGTTTAGTTTTTGTTCGGATTCCGGGCTTGGGGTTTGGTTTTCGGTTTTGGGAGTCAAACGTAGATCCGAGGCAGCTTCATCACGGCGTCGGGTGCCCTGTCGGTCACCAGCGGCAAGAAGACAGGGCGATCTCCCAAGGTTCGAGGCTTAGCGTACGAATCTTAAAGATTAGAAGAGGGTTATTATTGGTACGGTTTTGTTACGGAAAAGTATTGGTCATACTTCAAGCTTATGTTTGAGGACTTTTGGGTTTTCGATTTGGTATGTTTTGGCACTAGAGTATACACAGTTCTAAATCGCTCAGTAGTGCCCGTATACCCGTTTACTGTACCCTTGTCATGAAGGGATTGCTTTGAAATCTAGAGTTACGCTGACGCTGTTGAGCAAGCTCTTTACTCAGCTGTGGTTCCCTCAACGTCCGTTCTGGTTTGGATGAAACCAATTAGGTGAAGCCGTCATTTGCATTCCCTGTCGCAGCTCGGAAGCAGGACAAACGCATTGTGGAGGAGTTCGACAGCGTGCGTGACATTTGGTGGGGGAAGGTCAACATCAAGTTGGAGGAGGCCAGAATCCGACTGCGAGAAGTGAATTTTGCATTGTGCCCTGTCGTTGCCGAGTGTTTGGGTGTAGTCGGCAGGAGGGGTTCGGCGTGTGATTGGTCTTTCCCTTGGACGGCTACGGGCCGTGTGCCACATCATGCTTAGGCCGTGTTCGAGATCAACCGTGAGCGAGCCGTGGACTACCTGAACACCCAGAAGAGGCTTTACGTCGTGGATGGCTTCGCAGGCGGGGATAGGGCCTCTAAACCCTAAACCCTTAAGCTTAAAGCCTAGGTAGTATTATTAGGGGTACCCTTAAAGGGCACCCCTTCTGAACCCTACTTTTGGCTCCCTTAAAAGGGACCTTATTGAGAGGGTCTATATCCGCAAGGGTCCCCCTAATCCTAGCTCCCAAAGCCTAGACTAGCCGTTGTCCAATGAAGTCCTCGCGTTGATGCAGCCGAACTGAGCTCAAGACCAGACTGCAGCATCATCCACTTGTGAGTGAAGCTTCAATCATCCACTTGTGAGTGAAGCTTCATGGCTGGAGTTCGTATGTGTGTATATATATACACACGATTTAGGGGTTTAGAGTTTATATATATATATATATGTGTGTATGTACGTGTATATATATATATATATATATACACACTGAGTCAGTTCGCTCATGCTTCCGGCAGGTTGGGACGAGGAGTACAGAATCCCAATCCGCGTCATCACCTCCAGGGCGTATCACGCGCTCTTCATGCAGAACATGCTCGTCCCACCTTCGAAGTCGGAGCTCTACCAGTTCGAGGCCAACAGCTTCCCCCGGCCGTTTGTGATCTTCAATGCAGGCTGAAGGGCGCAGAAGGGGGGGGGAGATGAGTAGAAGTTAGGGCAGTTCCGGTAGTATTTTGAGGGTGCGGTGAGTGGAGTCGCAGGTTAAATCAAAACATGCCTTGTTGGTTTGCGGCAGGCTGCTTCCCATGCAACCGGCACACGGCTGGTATGACTTCGACCACTTCCGTGTCCCTGTCGCTTTGCCGGGGTGAGATGGTGATCCTCGGCACGCAGTATGCCGGGGAGATGAAGAAGGGAGTCTTCACGGTGATGATGTACCACATGCCTCTGCGGCCAGAACGGCATCTGGGCCCTGCAGAGAGGGCGCTGCCACTGCACTCCTCGTGCAATGTGGGCCCTGAGGGAGATGTCTCCCTCTTCTTCGGGCTCAGTGGCACTGGGAAGACGACACTCAGCGCCGATCCGGCAAGGAAACTCATCGGAGACGATGAGCATGTCTGGACGTCCAAGGGTGTCTTCAACATCGAGGGCGGCTGCTATGCCAAGTGCATCAACCTGTCTCGTGAGAAGGAGCCTGAGATTTACGACGCCATCCGCTTCGGGAGCGTGCTGGAGAATGTGGTCTTCGACGAGTGGAGCCGAAAGGTCGACTACGACAACGTCTCCCTGACGGAGAACACGAGGTGTGCATACCCGTTGCACTACATCCCCAACGCACTCATCCCTGCCAAGATTGACAGCCATCCCAGCAACGTGATCCTCCTGACCTGCGACGCCTTTGGGGTGCTTCCGCCCATTTCCAAGCTCACGAAGGAGCAGGTGATGTACCATTTCATCTCCGGCTACACCGCCAAGGTCGCCGGAACAGAGATGGGTGTCACAGAGCCACAGGCGACCTTCTCAGCATGCTTCGGGGGCCCGTTCTTAGCCATGCACCCCTACCACTATGCAGAGATGCTCGCCGCCAAGTTGGAAAAGCACGGTGGCCATGCGTGGCTGTTGAACACCGGCTGGGTCGGCGGCGCCTATGGCATCGGCGAGCGGTGCCCGCTAAAGTTCACACGCCAGCTGGTGGATGCTGTACATGATGGCACTCTGGCGGCCATGAAGGACTGGGTTCTTCAGGAACTTGGTTTAAGTAATCATATCATTATATCATCTATTTACTATGGCAACTTAAGTTAAACTCCTTAACGTATTAGTAGACTAGGTAGCCTTTAGCCTTTTCGCAGCTTGGGTTATTATAACCCCTATACCATGCCAAAGGTTATCTTTAGTTGCCCTGTAGAGCTAAGCTAACAAGGACCCGGACAGTTAAGTTACCATTGAATAGGAGGGATGAGGAGACCATATGATTGACCATGAATTCCCTAAGCTGATGTGAACTTTGTGTCGCAAGAGCCCGGAAACCCAAAACCCTAGACCCTAAACCCCTAAACCCCTAAACCCTAAACCCTTAAACCCTTAAACCTTAACCCCCTAAACCCTAAACCCCAAACCCCTAAACACCCAAACCCTAAACCCTTAAACCCTAAACCCCTTACCCCCAAAACCCTAAACCCCTAACCCCTAAACCGGAGGACGAGGACTGGGAGCCTCTGCCCATCTTTGGCCTGCAGATGCCCCGGAAGGCCGTGAAGAGCGTGCCGCGGGAGATCCTCTGCCCCGAGGATGCATGGAGGCGGGTTTAGGGTTTAAGGTTCAGGATTTAGGGTTCAGGGTTTAGGGTTTAGAGTTTAGGGTTAAAGGTTCAGGGTTTAAGGTTTAGAGTTTAGGGTTTAGGGTTTAGGGTTTAGGGTTTAGGGCAGGGTTTAGGGTTAGGGTTTAGGGTTGGGTTTAGGGTTTAAGGTTTGTGGTTTAGGATTTAGGGTTGTAGGCTTTGTTCGTGTCTGGCCCTCCTTACCCAAAACCCTAGATCCTAAACCCCAAGCCAGGGTGCCCCAGGGTTTAGGGTTTATTGTTCCCTGTCAGGTCAAGAGGCCAGTCCTCCGCAGAGTTTTGGGCCGCCGCTAGCAAGTTGGCTTTGTTGTTCCAGAAAAATTTTGAGGAATACGCTCCGCAGTGCCTGCCGGCCGTTGTACAGGCGGGCCCACAGGCATCTAAGGAGGGCTCGGGCTACCCCTGAGGCTATGCCGGGCCAGGACTTTTAATATTTTAGTGTTATATAGATAAAAAACTTTGATCTCATGTTGTACCTGGGGAGGGCCAGATGCAGACACAGCACGGCCAGAGGATTTCAATTCTGGCTGGTGCCCCGTGAACATCTTCTGTCCCAACTGTACGGATTCTTACATATCATGTGACGCACGCGGAGCATAGGATAGTGGGATGTTATCCGGGGTGTGGGGCAATCCATGAGCATAGGCTCGTTTTGCCCCTCGCCGGCTGCTCCCGATGTGCCCTCCCTTGCGAAACTGAGACGATCAGGATACGCACCCCTCCGGCTCGATTGTTTAGAAGGCCTCATCAAGGCGTTCCAAAATGCTGGTTGCTGGTTGCTGTTTGTTCTCGGATCACATAGCAGACATAACAAGTGGTACTGGAGGGTGCAGCCTTTGCAGCGTCGTGCCTGCACTTGGTCACAGGTTACGGGTCCAGGTAGACCAATACAGGCAGGTTTCATATGGGGACTCCCGAAGCTGCTCAAAGTGATGAAGGTTGGCAAAGCTCCACTTCTTGGATCCTTTTGGGAGTCTTCATGTTTGAAACATGATCGACAGACGGAGTGTCACCTATGCAGGCCTCCGGATGCCTTGCCATGCAAGGTGTGTCCAGTTTGTTTCAGCTCCCTGGCATCTCCCTAACACGGTGTAGTAGGGTTATCAGGGGGTGGCATAAGGCCACTTTTGTACGCGGCACTCGGCCACACTCGCGATAAAGGTTCGGCACCACGACCAATAATGAATATTTCGATAATATTTGAATCACAATTTGATTTCAATTGGTCAGATCTGGGGAAAGGGCAACCATAATCAAACCTAGGGCGATTCCATTATGAAGACGAGACGACAATTAAGATATAGAATAGATATACCTACGATTATAAGATTGAGATATTAATTCGATTAGAAGATAATAAATGATTAAATATAATAGAATAGATAAATTAAGAAACTATTTTTTAAATCTCGGATTCAAAACATAATAAAAATATATCTATATATATATATANNTATATATACATTCAGAAATATAAGATATTTTCATAATTATGATATTCTAGGTTTTAGAATTCTGAATAATAAATAATATGATTTCGTATTTCAAAATATAATTCTAATTAATCGTCATTTCTCGAAAAGCCTAATATAAATTACGAAATTATTTCTATTTCGATAGATTTCCTTGATATTCTCTGATATATTTTGAATAGAAGAAATTCTTTTATTTTATAGGTTCTCTTTGTTATAATATTTTTATCTTAGAATGATTGAGAAATATGAAGAAATTAAAATTTCTTCAAGAAAGTAAAACTCTAGTAAAAATAGAAAATTTGATATATATATATATATGAAAAAAGAATTTATAAGAAATTTTTCTTA